GGTTGGTTAATGGGTGGTTGGGTAGGTTGGTTAATGGGTGGCTGGTTGGGTAGGTTCGTTAATGGGTGGTTGGGTATGTTTGTTAATGGGTGGGTGGGTAGGTTGCCTAATAGGTGGGTGGGTAGGTTGGTTAATTGGTTAATGGATGGGTGGGTAGGTAGGTTGGATAATTGGTGGGTCTGTAGGTTGGTTGATGGGTGGTTGGGGAGGTTGGTGGTTGAGGAGGTTTGATAATTATCAAACCTCCCCAACCTCTCTTCACCCAACTCCCAGCACACAAGCTGATTTATGTCACCTGCTCAGTTCAATGCTATTTATTGAACAAAGCAGGAGGGGGCGGAGGCGGGGGGCACTGAGATAACATTTCATTTCAATTAAATTCCCTTTATTTCTTTACCCAGTTGAGAGCCAAATGAATGGAATTCATTGTCTACGTTATTGAACTTTATTGAAGGGATGCTGCTGCTGCTGCTGCTGCAGTCCGATGTCCAACAGCACCCATGGGTTTCGCGATCCAGAAGTCTTCGGTTCGATTCCATCTCCCCGGCAGCGCGCGGCTGGCAATTGAAACAATTCGGCGATTATCTTAAAATCCCTTCCGCTTCCGTCCACGCAGCGGCACCAGTGCGCGAGATGTTAACTCCCTCGCCTGGTATGCAGGAGGTCGTAGGTTCGTTCAATCCCGACCCTGTGCATGAAGAGGCTGTGCCACGGTGATGTGGTTTTATCTTCCTTGCCTGGCAGGCAGGTCGCGGGGGTTCAATCCCCGACCCTGTGAACGCCTGCTGCTGCTGTATATTTGGAGTTTGCGTGTCTTTCTCTCCCCGTGGTCGCGTGGATTTTTCTCCGGGTCCTCCGTTTCGCACCCCCCCCCCCTTCACATTTAGAATCAACATCATGCATTGGGAGAGTATTTGGCTGCTATGCATTTCCGCGTCATCGGCCACTTTGTTGAGCGACCATTTGTGACCAGGTCGCTTCTGAAAACAGAGCTGCATAGCTCAGTGAGCCTTAACCCGGTAAAAATAAAAAATGTAAAAAATGTAGAATTGCTCTCACCACAGTTCGTCTAAGGTCGGCAGTCCTCGCGAGTGGCGGGTTAAAGTGTGTAAGAGTTGGTCCCATGTACACCTTGTTTTAATGAGAGGTGGCTCATTGGAGCGCGCCTCTTAAGCGGGGAGCCCCCTTCCACTCGAAGTGGCGTCAGCGGGGCCATTGCAGGGGCTGCACCTCTGTCCCTTGGCACCTTTGTGCGTGTTTATGGAGGCTGTCCAGGTTGTTCGTGCCCATTTATGTGGCAATAAGAGCCTCTTGGGAACCCCCTCGCCTGCAGGATAGGGCCCTGGTTAATGAGTAAGAGGGCTCACGTGTGCGTGCTTGCGTATGTGTGGGTGTGTGTGGGGTTGTGTGGGGTGTGTGGGGTGGGGAGCGGTGGTGTAGCGGTTAGCGCTACGCTGCGCTACGAACCTGGCGACCCGAGTTCGATTCTCGCTCACGGCCAACATCGGTGAAGATTATCTGAACCGGTCTTGGGCCTCCCCTAGGTTGACTCAGCCTGAAATTAGTGGGTGGCCAGCACCGAATGCAGCCAGGCACGGTGTTGGCCACCCACCCCCTCGTGTGCTGTACCGGCCTTTATAGGTGCTCGCTAACAGCACTTGCCCCAACAGTCTGTTATTGTTTATGTTTTGCGTGTGAGGAAGTACAGCGAGTAGGTAGTCACCAGGATGACTGGCTTTCCCCGCAGAGCGTGCGAGGGAATTCCCCTTCGCACACGAAGAGAGCGAGCCGTGCGTGAGCGGTCAGTAGCACCACTGGACTTGCAACTCCGGAAAAAGAACATCAGAATATGTATTTATGTGTGTGTGTATGTTGAACTTCGTTTGCACCGTACGTAGCTAACCGTGCCAATCGGATGTGTGGCAGGGGGGGGAAGGACAACAAACTTAACACACAAAAAGCAGTTCTAGAGAAATTCGTTTTCAGTTGATGTGTGTTGAACTTCTTTCGCACCGTACATAGCTAGCCGGGGGAAGAAAACAAACTAAAACACTACAAATTATACTGGAGGAATCTGATGACCTATAAAGTTCTTTTTCGCAGATGCCCAGCAAAGGGCACGTGGTCAGAACGTTAGAACAACAACAACAAAACACGATGGTAGTACAAAGTATTGGAAAGGTATGCAAATCACGAAAAAAAATACAAACTAAACTAAATTCTCTATATATTTTTTTTATTGTATGAAGGTGAAGGGCCACTGAGCCGTAAGCTTCGTTTTCAGTCGCGACCTGACCATCACAAATATGATGGCCTTGCGAATATTCAATTGCATCTCCCGGCGCAGCAGTTGAAACCCCCAGTCTCAATTTGTCCGTTCAGGACTTGAAGCGGTCAAGACCGATTCCGAGAACGGTTTGCCAGATCACATACCGCTTGACCAAGTCACAAGCCGAGTACTCACAACGGACGCACCAAAAATATCATCATCAGCATCATCAGCATCCATGGGCAGAGGTTTCCACCGCACAGTTCGTAATGCGTCGTCTCAACTTTCCTCTGTCTTGTGCCGACACGCTCAAGTGGTGGTGGCATATCTTTCTGGCAACAGTCTCTTATGATGTCATCAAGCCGTTCCCTGTTAGCTCTTATCACTCGCCTGTTGTATAGTTTTCATTTTAAGGCCAAAGTAAGCGAAGTGTTGTTGAGTTTGTTGTTGTTTGTGCACCGCTGCCAACGCAGCATCACCACCGAATAATTTGTTTACATTAGAATGAGAAGGTTTATTCAATATTCGCTTTCAGATGCGCTTCTGCGGCAGTCTGGAACGCTCTTCCTTCCGATATCAAGAAGCCACTGGGAGCTGTGATGCACTTTTACATCATCATCTTGACCAGGGGTGGGGAACCTTCTTTCTGCCAAGGGCCATTTGGATATTTATAACATCATTCGCGGGCCATACAAAATTATCAACTTAAAAATTTGCCTGTTATATTTGGTCAAACATTTCATTAACTCGCCCTAATGCGATGGCTGGAACTGCTTCTCTCTGGCGAGGCGTGTGACGTTAGCTGGTGTTGATGATGTTGCTGCTACTCGCAACTGCTTTTCCAGGTTTGCTCCTAGATTTATTGAATTTCGAGTCCCGCCCGCGGTTGCCTTGGCAGGGCCACGCCAAATTATTTCGCGGGCCTCATACGAACCGCGGGCCGGACGTTCCCCACCTCTGATCTTGATTGACAAACTCATTTATTTAGAATTGCTTCTTGTTGTTGTCTTTAGTTTGCTGTTCTTCCCCCGCACCTCCGATTAGCCACGGTTAGCTACGTACGGCATGAAAGAAGTTCAACAAACACGCATACATTTGTGGGTGGGGGGTTGTCGTGGTGTGTGGATGTGACTGCATGCGACTGCATGGCAAATCAGTTACCATTTCAAGGATATAGAACGTGATGCTTTTTGTATCCAGTTATGAACCTGCTGTTGTGTCCATGGGATACGTTACACTCAAGTGAGCGCATTAGCCGTGACTCGTTTCTATGACGTTTGCTGTTTCCCTTCCACACTTTGCTTAATCAATTGTCAAGAGGTGCTCCCACTAAAGGATCGCAGAGCGCGGGGGCAGATTTTTGTTGGCAGGACACGTGGCGGTTGCCACATTCTGCGGCATCGTATCTCATCCGCAATTTGGACGGCCGACGCTGTATACACAAAACAATTACAACACCCATAAGTGACACACCATGGAACCGGTTTAAGATAAATCAGTCCATCATCATCATTCGGCCGACGCTGTATACGCACATCAATTACAACACCCATAAGTGACACACCATGGAACCGGTTTAAGATAAATCAGTCCATCATCATCATTCGGCCGATGCTGTATACGCACATCAATTACAACACCCATAAGTGACACACCATGGAACCGGTTTAAGATAAACCAGTCCATCATCATCATTCGGCCGATGCTGTATACGCACATCAATTACAACACCCATAAGTGACACACCATGGAACCGGTTTAGAATACATCAGCCCATCGTCGTCATCATCATCCGACGGAGGTCATTAAAATGAGGCTAACCGCTTCGTGCACATTTGATGAATCAGCTCCCCTCCCCGCCATGGGAACGTGGAGTAGCCACACCCGTGCCAAAAAAAAGCACTTGATTCTGATTCCCAGATGCACGGACAACACGAACGGGGACTGACTCCCCCTCTAGGTCGACTCGGCCTCAAATGATAGTACCTGGTTGAGGTTAGTGAAAGAAGCCGACAGCACCGGGGGGAGACAAAGGCGGGTGAGGGCTGGTTATCGGCCACACCACCGCTGCTAAGCCACGCTAACCCTAACAGGTGCTCGCTAACAGCGCCTGTCCCTTCGGATCTGTAAGGGATGTGTGTGTCTTTATCTTGTGTGTGTCTTTACCTTGTGTGTGTCTTTATCTTGTGTATGTCTTTACCTTGTGTGTGTGTGTGTTTTTACCTTGTGTGTGTGTGTGTGTCATTACCTTGTGTGTATGTGTGTCCTGTACTGGCCACCCACCCACCCCCTCGTAGGCGCTGCTACTCGCTAACAGCACTTGCCCCGACAGTCTGTTAAGGCTACACGGGGGGGGGATCTTTGTCTTTGTCCACTGTCTCCACAGTTACAAGTGCCCCTTGCTCACAGTTATATAGAGCTCTGAGCGAAACAAAATGATAAACCCCAGACGACGACGATTATATTACAATAAATAAACACATCGCGATCTGTTGCGCCCCGTATTTTTGTGTTGTCTCTCCCGAGTTTTTTCACCCGTGCCGTTTTTTTTAAAGCTTGTGGCTACTCAATTGATTTGTTTGAATTTAAAATGTTTCACCGGCCACCGTACCTGCTTGTACAGTACACCTGCAAGTGTGTGAACCTCCTGCGATCATTGTTTATTGACGGTGGCGGAGGGGCGGTGGTTAATGATTGACGTGATGCCAATCGCTTAAGGGCACTGAAACGGACCCGAAGAGGCCACACGAGTCACGATGCCGACGTGAGCCGCTCGACTCTTGGAGGCAACTCTCACGGCAGAGAGAGAGACAACCACGCAAACAATAGAGGTACGGCGTCTTATGTGTTCATCGCTACTCGTGTGTGTGTGTGTGTTACAGGTGGGCGAGATTTTAACTACTTCGCCTGGTGTAAAGGAGGTCGTGGGTTTGATCCCGACCCTGGACGCATGCTCGCTGTATATTTGGAGTTTGCGTGTCTCTCTCTCATCATCATCACGGTGGCTAGGAGATGTTAACTACCTCGCCTGGACTACAGGAGGTCGTGGGTTTGATCCCGACCCTGGACGCCTGCTCGTTGTATATTTGGGAGTTTGCGGTGTCTGTCTCTCATCATCATCACGGTGGCTAGGAGATGTTAACTACCTCGCCTGGTATGCAGGAGGTCGTGGGTTCGATCCCGACCCTGGACGGCCTGCTCGCTGTCTATTTGGGAGTTTGCGTGTCTCTCTCCTCCGGGGGTTCCCCTCCATGATCGACATCACCCCGCGTGCGTTGCGAGTTATTTTGGCTGCTGTTATGAATGTCCACGTCACGATAGGTCACTTCGTCCAGCTGTTATCATTTGTGATGAGCAGGTTCGCTTATGATTCAAGAGTTCCATAGCTCAGTGGGCTTCGCCTGGTACATGTTATTTAAAAAAAAATAGTTAACGCTTCAGCTGCGCTATGGCATCCGGCCACCCGAGTTCGCGTGCCGCTCACGGCCACAGCCAAACGGCGGTCACGGTTTACCTGAACCGGTTCTTGGCCTGCCCTACGGTCTACTCGGCCCTCAAACGAGTAAACCTCGCCACGAGGGAGACAAAGGCGGCCCGGAGCAGTGCCGGCCACATCACTCCCCCCACCCCCGTCCCGTGTTTCGCACCGGAACTTCGCGAAGCCTCTAACAGTCCGTGAAGGGCTCCACGGGGGAGTATTTGTCTGTGTCGCTGCCTCTGTTTGCGGAGGGAGTGACGGGCGCTGTGGGGTTCGCTCGCTGCGCCGTGAACCAAAGTGGGGGGGGGGGGGGGGGGGGGGGGGTGGGGGGGGTGGGGGGGGGTGGGGGGCCCGAGTTCGTGTTTGAGTGGGATCGAACCTTCTGTGCGGCCTCAATGGGGGCAGCATGCCGGTAACGCCGAGGGTCAACGGAGGGATACGTTCAGTGGGTGGTGGCGAGAGGCGTAGGAACCGGCCCAGATTCTCTCCGTAGGTCGACTCGGCCTTAAACGAGTACATGGCGTGGCGTGTAAAATAAAGAAATAAAACTAAACCAGCGCTGGGGGAGAAAAAGGCGGCTGGGTGTGGTTGATCGCCACACCCCGTGCGCTTCCTGTGCCATGCCAACCTTAATAGGGGCTCGCTAACAGCGCTCGCCCCAAAAGGCTGTGTCGTGGGGGGAGCGGTGGCGCAGCGGTTAGCGCTACGCTGCGCTACGAAGCCGGCGGGCCGACATCGCCACTGGGAGAGACAAAGGCGGCCGGGCGTGGTGTTGGCCACCCACCCCCCTCGTGTGCCACAGGGCCGGTAGCCTTCAAGGGTGCCGTGCGACTCGCTAACAGCACTTGCCCCTACAGCCTGTTAAGGCTACACGGGGGATTTTTGTATTTGCCGTGGTGTGTATGTATGTTGAACTTCTTTCGCGCTCTACACGTACTTGCGTGTCTGTGTGGAAAGTCTCACCGAGACTTGGGATGCAGAGCGGAGGCAACAAAGATCCCCGTATAGCCTTAGCAGACTGTTGGGGCAAGTGCAGTACCACGCCCGGCCGCCTTTGTCTCCCCAGTGGCGATGTTTACAAACCATACCATGTACTCATTTGAGGCTGAGTCGACCTAGGGGAGGCCCATGACCGTTTCAGATAATCATCACCGGGAATTGGTAGCCGTGTGCGGGAATCGAACTCGGGTCGCCGGGTTCGTAGCGCAGCGCTAACCACTTCAGCACCCCGCAGGATAAAACTCAACACAACACACGCACGCACGCACGCAAGGGGACAGCGCTCAGCCATATATACAAGAGACACATTCAAAGTATTTAGCTGCTGCTATAAATGTGCACGTGATGATGACGATGATGATAGGCCATCTAGTTGAGCTCTCCTTTGTGATCGCCAGGTGGCTTCTGACAAAGAGCTGCCGTGCTCAGTGGGCCTCACCTGGTAACATACTTCTTCTTACATTTAGTTTGAAGCGTAACATTAGCAGACAACTCGCCTCTTTGGCAAATCTGTCCCTCTGGGTTAAAACAATTAAAGGGTGTTTCTTACGCAAGCCCATCATCGTTCCGGCAGAATTGTTTCGACAAAGCAAGCAAAACTCTGGCACCCGTTTTGACATCCGGTGTTTCATCAGCAGGGCGGCTCGCTTGAGCCCAATGCCGGTAACCTGTCAAATGAACGTTATTGGCGGTACACCGGCATACAAAAACGGCAACATTTTCGCAATCATTATTTACTTTCCCGCGACTCACAAACCCCGCTCAGAAAATCTTGCGGGGTGGTGGTGGCGGTGGTGGTGGCGGTGGTGGTGGTGGTGGTGGCGGTGGTGGTGGCGGTGGTGGTGGCGGCAGCGGCGGTGGTGGTGGTGGTGGTGGCGGTGGCGGGTCAAAAATCAGTCCTCGCGATGCCGAAGCGGGTCGGATGACGGAGCGATGACACGAGCGTCTGAACCACGACGAGGCTTCACGCAGTCCCTCGCCGTAGAGCGGCGACCCGGCCCTGGTGGAGATTGGCTGGCTCCGTGTTACAAAGGCAGCAAAGTTTGTGCTCGCGGACTACGACTTGGTCGGACGGTTGCCTCGATTCGTTTCTGGAATAATTTCTTGGCGGACGGTGGCATCAAAAGATTACAACTCGTGGTGGTGGTGGTGGTGTTGCCACACGTTCGATCGCAATTCGAGATCGACCTTCCGTATCGATGTTTAATCCACCGGGGCCTTCTCGCCTTCCCACGCTTGCCTCAAATTTTGAACGTCTCCCTCCTCTCTCTCCCCTCTGTCTCGCAGCAACCATGAACGCTCCGAACCTCGTGTCGCAACCCAGGATATGCGGCCTCCTGCCCTTCCCCCCCGTGCCGTTGGACGACGCTCACTCCAGGAGCTACGGCATCGGCTCCTCGCCCGCCGAAGCTCCGAGCTCGGCTGGAGTCCAACCTGAACCCTGCGAAACTTTCAGGTGCTGCAGCTGCTACGACAACTGGCCTCCTGAGTCTCCGCATCAGACGCAGCCACCGGTGTCTCCTCCGCAACCGCCACTGCCGCCGCCGCCGTCGCTGGCGGTGGTCGATTCTCAAGACCAGCAGATTAAATCGATGTCTGTGATGGACGCTCACAACGTACAACAGCACCAGCGCCAGCATCAGCACCAGCAGCTGCTCCAGCAGTGGCAGCACCGGCAGTATCAGCGGCAGTATCGGGACCAGCAGAAGCGCCGGCAGGTCAAGCCCGAGCAACTCCTCTCGCTGCTGGAGCGCGTGTGCACCATCCGCAAACCCCACACGAAGCACCGCAGCCGCCCGCCAGGCCAGACCGGCACGACCAACGCCGCCCACGAGTGGAGCTACCGCGAAACGCCCGATTGGCGAGCGGCGGTGCCGGTGCCGGCGGCAGCGGCGAGGCGGCTGCCGGATCTGCTTTCTCAGACGACGACGGCGACGACGGCGACGACGGCGATGACGCCGGGGTCGCGGCCGCCGCCCGCCGCCACCGAGACGACGACCGCGACGGTCGACCGCAAGCAGACGAGCGTCGGCCGCTACATGGCGGCCATGAACCTGGGGGGGGGGCGCCGCTACGACGACGACCACGATGAAGACGGCGACGATCGCGACGCCGCGCGGGAAGGCCCGGCCACGGACGCCAACGGCGGGCCCTCGTCATTCTGGCGGCGCGCCATCGGGCGCTGCGTTTGCCCGCGGGGGGAGGAGGAGCAGGAGGGGGCCGATTCGCCCAAGGCGGTGGACATTCGCTTCACGGAGTGCGGAGAAATGTTCGTCGATTTGCGGTGACCGGCCTCCGCGTCTTGGCGTGGCTTCGTCCCCCGGTCACGGGAGAGAGAGGGGGGGGGGTCCGTGACCGGTGACGGCCGAGCCGACGAGGACTCGGATTCAAGCGACGAGGACTCGCCCGTGGGTCTCCTTTCGAAGGAGGATTCAACAATGGCCGCGTCCGCTGAGGGTCCCGGATCAAACTCTCGCCGGGGCTCTGTCGCGCTCCCCTCCCCTGCGGACGGACTCGCCGGCGGCCGTGCCGGACACCCTGAGCCTGCATCACTGAGTGCCTCACTTTCCTGCAAGGCAGGTTCACGGTGGACACGGCTGAACTCCTGCGTTAGAATCCGGGACTCTGCCGCCCCGCCGCCCCCAGTCGAGTGTGATTTCAACTGCGGGGTTGTGGGGCCTCGCGAGTGTGATGTCGTTTTGCGGAAAGAGAGAAAAAAAAAACTAAACATAGCGCCGCGTGGGCGGACGGTAATATTTGCACTAAAATATATCAGCCTGGCCCAGCTCTAAGGCCCGAACACTCTGCGAAGGGGGGAGGGGGGGGGATATTTAAGCTGCCTCGGCACGCGGCACGAATGTGAGTCCTGTTGGCAGTGGCCTTGTCGAAGCGGAGACTCGACGGGAAGGGCGAAGAGGAGGCCGCTGGCGGTGTGGTGGTGGTGGTGGTGGCGGTGGTGGTGGTGGTGGTTGTAGTCGTGGTGGTGGTGGTGCTCGCCCTAGGCCCCCCCCCGCCCCCCCCATCCCCACCCCTTGTAAAGTATAAACTCCCAGTGAGGCCGCCGCGAGACTCTGGCGACGGACGAGGTGGACGTCCCAGGTGTGCTGGGATGAGGCGAAGGCGCGGCCGGGAAGGCGATTGCGGTTTGGGGTTCTAGGTGAGAGGTGAGATAGAGAGAGAGATTCGTGTACGTACCGTACATACCGTACGTACGCTGGTATGGTACATACGGTACGTACGCTGGTACATACGTACCATATGCTGGTACGGTACATACGGTACCTACGCTGGTACGGTACGGTATGCACGATACGTACCGTACACGCGCGTACATACCGTACGTACGGTACTTATGGTACGTACCGTACATGCGTTGAACTTATTTCGCGCGCGGCCCCCCCGCCCTCCCCCCCCCCCGTACGTAGCCAACCGTAGACGAGAGGTAGCGAGGTGCAGCGGGGCGAGAGACTGCGTGCATAGGCGAGGGGAGGAGGCGCGAGAGACGCCGTGGGGCGCGAGAGACGTAGAGGCGGGACAGGAGGGAGCTGCAGGGACGAGACGGAGGTGGGAGACATTTGAGCGTTGCGATGTTGTTCTTGATTTCGGTGGAGGGGGGGGGGGGGGCGCTCTTACCCCCCACACCCAGCGGCCTCTTAGTGGTTTTCTTGGTTGTCGTTGTGATTGTTGTTGTTGTGGTTGTTGTGGTTGTGGATGTTGTGATTGTTGTGGTTGTTGTTGTCTCTCGCGCCGTGAACCCGGACCCAAGAAACCCGAGAGAAAATGTCCACGGAGATGTATTTGAAGAGCTGAGCCAAGGGAAAAAATAACGTATACATAATATATTGACATAATTATATTTATGTAAATATATATTTATACAGATATATGAATGTATAAATATTTATTTATATGAGCTCTATATTTATATATTTGTTTTGGCGTATATTTATATGAAAACATTTATTTATATAAATAAAAACATTTGAACCTTATGGCGGTACTCCGGCTCTCGCACAATGTCGGTGATGCAGTCATTCTTAGCCTGTGGAGGGTCAACGATGCGGCAATCGACTCATCTCGACGAGCTGGACACGATGCACCACCGCTACGGTGCGTACCGCCAGCGTTCAGGGTTTCGGCGCAGTCATCGTGGAGTGGCACCGATGTCGGATTGAGTGGTACCCCAGTCGCGGAGTGAACTACACCCCTGGGCAAAAATCGTGCCCCAGAAATAGAATATTTAATTGCCTCGCCCGGTTTGTATTATTATGGTACCGCCATAAGGATAATTTATATCAGCAAACATTCTAAATATTTATATAAATATACGCCAAAACAAATAGATTTGCCGGTTTTATACTAAAATCTCAGCTGCCAATCGTGACTGATCGACCGCCAATTAAATCTCCTCCTCAAATCGGTTCGCCTGCATCATCGCTGGCTCTTTCACGCTGGCGCGCTCAGCGGCACCTTTGGGTCAGCACCTCACGACCCCTGTTGTCATCTCGGGCGTTTTGGCTCCTTGAACAATCCGCCAGCGGTCGGCCGATTTTAAACCGAACGGAGCGGCACCATTGAGGCCCCACGACGCGACAACTCCATTTTCGGTTGGCCGTGTCGGGTTGGTGGAGGGTTTTCATTTTTAAGCAAAACGTGACATGATGCCCCTGGTGACGATCGCTTGTGTTGTGATCGAAACGTCGTAGTTTATTTTATTTTATATTTATTATTTCTTATTAATTTGAACCTTTACCGAAAGACCCAAAGAATATGAATTCCTGCAGTCACGAAAGCTTTAAGTGAAGATGATGCGCTACGATTACGGGACCCGGCTCGTGAATTGTCAACGCCGCAGGTTTCGATAGCCCCCCACCATACGGAAGTGAGAAACCATTCCAGTCGAATGACGACTGCGAAAGAAAGAATTTAGGCTGCCGGTCGTCGTCATCGTCGTCGTCATCACCCGCTGATGACCGACGAAAATAAAAGAAATCACATTCTGTTCCCTATTTATTTCTACTCGTGCTCATTGTTGTTGGGGGGGGGTGAGGGGGGGCATCGTACAAGGGGAGCGGACGACCGTGGCCGACTGCGGCCACGGTTGCCGGACAGCCGCCGGGGCAGTGCGCAAATTTGACGTTCGGGTTTTGTTTGGTGACGGTCAAGGTTCACTTCTTTACTACTTCCGATTTTACGACCGGAACGCCGATATGATGACCCGGACCGAATCACGCAAGGCAGCGGCAAAAGAGCGCGACTGTTGACTAGGGCCGGTGCGAAAGTACGGTGCAGTAACCTTGGGGGGGGGGGGGGGGTTTGTTTGCTGAATCGCATTTACGCTGTAAAAAGCAGCCATCGCGTGGCTGCGGGACACAGAACTGAGATGATAACGGGGAGTGGCAACACCACCGCGTTACTGTCTCGTTACTGTATCATTCCGCGTGCCGTATACGCGCCACTGAGCCCGTGCAGCTGAAAGAAAGTAGTCCTCGTAGTAGAGATGCGCATGTCGCGTTATAACGGTACACGTGTCGCGTTGTAACGGTACGCGTGTCGCGTTGTAACGGTACGCGTGTCGCGTTGTAACGGTACGCGTGTCGCGTTGTAACGGTACGCGTGTCGCGTTGTAACGGTACGCGTGTCGCGTTGTAACGGTACGCGTGTCGCGTTGTAACGGTACGCGTGTCGCATTGTAACGGTACGCGTGTCGCGTTGTAACGGTACACGTGTCGCGTTATAACGGTACGCGTGTCGCGTTATAACGTACGTGTGTCACGTTATAACGGTACACGTGTCGCGTTATAACGGTACGCATGTCACGTTGTAACGTTGCGCGTGTCGCGTTATAACGGTACACGTGTCGCGTTGTAACGGTACGCGTGTCGCGTTATAACGGTACACGTGTCGCGTTGTCACGGTACGCGTGTCGCATTGTAACGGTACGCGTGTCGCATTGTAACGGTACGCGTGTCGCGTTATAACGGCGCGCGTTCCATGTTATATCTGCTACGATTTCACCGCAAGCGCGGACACGACTTGGGCAATTCGGGAGATATTTGGCAGTGCAGTATTTTTCATCGCGAGTTCGCAGGAGGGGGCCTGGTTGGCAGGCGTGGAAGTTTACAGGGAGTATAATGCACTTTGATGCCTTTGTCATTTCACTTGAGCGGCCGCTGATCGGGCAAGTAAAAACAATTACGTTGGCACTACCCTCCCCCCGCCCCGATCGCGAACCCGACCAGGAGGTACAGCAAGTAGGTTGTGAGCCCCAATCTGCAAGATGGGCTTTCGTCTGTGTACGTGAGGGCCACATCGCTCGTTTTACATTTTTTGTTTGCCAAACATTCAATGTTTGAAACGAAGGACATGCCCTGGAGTCATAAAAAATAAAAATGTTGACGTTACTTTTGTATTTATTTGACAGTTTCTGTGCGACTGCGGTGGGGGGGAAAACGTTGAGTTTTCAAATTATATTTTTTCTGGTGGAGGTCATAACTTTCAGCCGCAGGAAAAGTGATCCGCCCTTCGTTGCGCCCCGTTATGAACGTTGCACGCGCGTTATTATAGATAACAATAATAATGGGTACCCATAATTATTGATACGCATTAATGTATCCCCTCCACCTTCACACGTGAAGGGCTCACAAGTGACGTCATCACATCTACACCTCTAAGAAACTAAACGGGAGGATTTCTCCACAAACCTGGCTGTCCGCCTGTCATTACTGGCGAAACGTGGCAGTCAGATCGTAAATGTTGTGGATTTGTTGTACTTGTAACGAATTGGCACGTTCTGTTTACGTGACAAACCAGACTAATTGGCTGTGCCGGGTGGTGGCAGGTTTAACGACACATTTATATTTCTGCGATCTCACCCCCCCCCCCCCCCCCCATAAAAACCTGTATTATGGATGATGTTGGTCGCGAAAGCCTACGACTATCTGTTAAACTAACAATAAAAAAACATTGTTTTTACCCACGTGTGAATTGTTGTCTGCTGGGCTAATGTCACCGCCGTAAGGTCGCACCCATTACAACGCGCGCAAAGCGCCCGCCACAAATGAGCCACGATGCCTTGCCGATCTCGTCCGAGGAGCACGAACCACCAACACGCAAACTACGGTGGTCGTCTTCAAGTTCAAGTTCATGTATTAGGTATAGAGCCCTGTGAGCCATTCGGCTCTTGAATCGGGTGCAACCGCAACAAACAAAAACATGAACAAAAAAACATCTGAAAGTGAATATGTGACTGAGTGCAAACAGAAAATCCAAGAAAAGACAGCAAAATATTGCAGAAAAAAACACCGTACAACAACGCTGTGTGCAAAAATCCCAGTGGGATGCAAGTCAAACAACAACAACCATAAGACAACTTAGATTAAGGCCATCAGTCTAACTCGGTACTCCAACAAACAAACATGGCTAAACCAATACACTTTTCGAAATCACCAAAATAAAGCCATGAAAGCAATGAAAAAGCAGCGGCGGTGGCCGTCTGGAACGTTCCTCCTTCTCATATTAGGAAGCCACTGTGGAGCTATGCACTTTTAAATTATCCATATTGACCAACTAACTGATTTAAAACTGCTTGTTGTAGTTCTGTCTGAGACCCTGCTTCCTTTCACGGGCAAGTCCACCTCGGCTGTACTTAACTCAGCTCACTTGGTTTCTCTAATCAAGGACATCTCACTGTCTCCCGATGATTTGCTTGTCAGTTTCGATGTAGTCTCTCTGTTCATCAATGTACCTGTACTTGACACCATTGCAATCATTGACGACTTGGTCCAACAAGGACTGAATCCAGATGTACCAACTCTGGTAAGGCACTGTCTTACCAACACATACTTCACCTGGAATGGTGCATTCTACAAACAAAATGAGGGTACCCCAATGGGTTCTTCCTTATCACCAGTGATAGCGAATGTTTTCATGGAGAAATTTGAGACAGATGCCATCCAGACATCCACCCAACGTCCTTCCTTGTGGAAGAGATACGTAGATGACACGTTCGTCATCTGGCCACATG